TTTCTTATGAATTTTCCACCTCTAGTCAAGCACACATACTTCCCCATAATAAGGACAAAACTAGCGTCGTAACAAGACAAAGACAAAAAGTTTCATTCTACCTCAAAATGTAGGAAATAGCATTTCAAACAGTCTAAATTTAAAAGGTTTTCAGAGGAGGACCCCCCCTACAATACTCGCACCTGCAGCACTGCGCAGAACCTAAAGATGTGAAACACCAAGGTGTAACCCCTATGAAATATTCCTAGCTAAAAGCCTGGTAACATCTGAAGCCAACTAATGTCTCTTTTTTTGGCTGCATCATTTTGGTTCTAAGGCTGCTTTAAAAGCTGTTCCCCCAAACTTCAGGACAGTGACTCAGTATGATGAAGCTAAAGGAAGACCTATATCTATAATGCCTCTATTAAGGGCTTTGAGATTACCTGTTGTGAGTTGGGGCAATATAAATACATTGTGTTGAACTAAATCTGCTGAAAATAATACATGAAACTGAACCATTTTGTTGGCAGGACAACATTCCAGCAGCATATAGAGACGGAAGACGACCGTCTCACGATGTCAGGTGAGGAAGATTCTGCTGCTGAGATGGAAGCCAGGGCCGTTGATGGGAACGAAGGCGACATTAGAGATGCAAACAGCAGCTGGAGGCGAGATGTTACTAATGAAGATGAGGAAACGAAAGTCTCCAAACTAATTAATGAAGGAGTCCACCACTTTAATGGTGTTTGGGTAAAAACAGAAAACTCAGCTGATTTTTCCTGTAAAGTCTGCAAAGCTGCTGAGAAATCTGAAGTTGCCCTCGTTAAACACGCCTGGAGACACAGTGAGGAAGCAGGAAGTGTTTGTGGAGTCTGTGGAGCATCAGTCCAGGTTTTAAAGGATCATCTTCAAAGTGAGCACAGAACTGATGAAGGTCCCAATTGTGGACTCGCTGTCCTTCATCTGAATGAGGACCTGAAGGGCCAACCAGTAGAGCTGACTCATCCGCCCGAGGATAATCACAGCTCTTTTCTTTCTGAGCTGCCCTCTGAGGACAGCCAGGAGCTCCAGGAGTCCTGTCATAGATGTCCCACCTGCCAGAAGGTGTTTGAGCTGGAGGCGCGGTTAAAGGCTCACTGCAGGACTCATAGCACATGTAAAACCTACCTCTGTGGGGTGTGCGGAAAATTCCTGAGTAGCAATAGAGCTCTGTCCCGCCACAAGATGACACATTCTGGAGAGAGACCACACAGATGCAAAATCTGTAAGAGGGGCTTCAAATTGGTGACAACTCTAAAACAGCATGAGAAGATCCACGCTGACAGGGAGCGGCCGTACCTCTGTGACGTCTGCTGCAAGATGTTCCTCACCAGCAAGCAGCTCCTCATCCACATGAGGACGCACACCGATGAGAAGCCATACCACTGCAACCGCTGCGGTAAGGGCTTCACAACCAGGGGGCCACTAACCATACACATGCGGGTTCACACTGGGGAGACACCATACCGCTGTCCTCACTGTGGCTGGTCCTTCAAACGGAAGACTCACTTGGACGACCACGTGACCATCCACACTGGAGCAAAACCATATGTGTGCGGGATCTGCGGGAAGACGTGCGCTCGAAGGACGTACCTCACCGTCCACATGAGGACGCACAACGGAGAGAGACCCTACAAGTGTTCCCTCTGTGAGAAAGCCTTCACACAGAGCCACTGCCTGAAGACGCACATGAAGAGTCACAAGGGTGCAGAGGCTGCATTGTGATGCTCAGCTTAACATTAACCTAGAATTTATTTGTTAACATCAAACTGTTTCTTAAATCCAGTGAAATATCTCCATTAAAAATTAAGATGTAAAATTAAATTCTTTCTGTCTGTATTTTCTTTTTCATCAGATGTAGATCAGGGCATTTAAACAAGCTCAGTAATTTAACAAAAAAATAGACGATACCAGCGACCCTGAGAAAAATGGGACTTAATATTTAGTAAGACAGACGGGTGTGGCCTGAGGGGAATTTTAATAGATGGATATTTATACAAAATAAGAAAGTGATTTGAAACATTTGAGGGGTTTGGTTCCTAAGAGGGGACCAATATAAGTGGAATGGGGAGGGGGTTAAATAACATGAATAAATAAAAATCTTGAGAGATATTTAAAGAAAAATGTATTGGTTGCAAAGTATGGTTTTGCTTTGAAGTGAAATGAACTGTTAAAAAAACCAATTGAAAGCTAATAGTTTTATTATTTTAATAAGATTGTATTTTTTTTTTTACCGGCCAGCATCTAAAATCTCAGATATTTTAATGCTGACAGAATTATCTCTGCTTCTGTTTAAAGTTTCTCTAACTCACTGGTTAATTTTACCTTGCTCAATTGTTTTAAAATCTTTCATTGTTGACTTTTATTCTCTGTTTTAACAATATAACTTAATCAAGCCTTTTCAATTTCAGTTTAAAATAAGTAATAAAGTTATGATTCTTGCTTCAATTGTATCGCGTCAAGCTTGATATCGGCCGATTCTCAAAGCTGGATTATTAGTATCGTAACCTATATATACAGTTATGGCCAAAAGTTTTGAGAATTATTCAAATGTTAATATTTACAAAGTCTACTGCTTTATTTTTTATAACAGCAATTTGTATATACTCCAGAATATTATAAAGAGTGATCAGCGTAACAGCAATTAATTGCAAAGTCAATATTTGCCTAGAAAATGAGCTTTATCCCCCAAAACACATTTCAACGTCATTGCAGTCCTTCCTTAAAAGGACCAGGTGACGTTGTTTCAGTGATTGCTCCATTAACACAGGTGTGGGTGGTGATGAGGACAGGGCTGGAGATCAATCTGTCATGATTAAGTAGGAATGACACCACTGGACACTTTAAAAAGAGGCTGGTGCTTGGCATCATTGTTTCTCTTCTGTGAACCATGGTTATCTCTAAAGAAACGTGCAGTCATCATTGCACTGCACAAAAGTGGCCTAACAGGAAAGAGAATCGCAGCTAGACTGATTGCACTTCAGTTAACAATCTATCGCATCATCAAGAACTAGGGATGCACGATATTGGGATTTTGGCCGATATCCGATATGCCGATATTTTAAAACTCATGTAGCCGATAACCGATATCGATACCGATGTTAAAGCTGGACAAAAATAAGTAGTCATTGAAAATAGCAGTTTTGTTATCCATTTCTGACACTTTGAAAAATAATATACTCAAATATATTTTCATATGCTGATATCAAATAGATTTTTAAAAACGCGCTATTGATCTATTTTACTTTCAAAATCTCGTGAAATTTCATTTTTCAGTTACAAACTCTTGTGATATTTTGCAAATTCTTGTGAGATTTTGTTAGTAAAATAGATCGATACCGCGTCAATATATCAACATATAAAAATATGGCAAAATTTCGTGAATTTTCGGGGGATTTCGTAGCATAACGATGACATATAGCAATATTTCATTAGTAAAAGAGATTGATATGGTGTTTTTAAATGGCAATATATCAGCATATGAAGATATTGGGATATTTTAATGTATCAATATTTTTTCCCTCGTCTTTAGAAGTTTTTAAGTCTGTAAAAAAGAAGTTTTTGAGGAAGAAGCAGAAGTAGTAGTATTTTTTTTTTTAGACTTTAGAAACTCAGAAGCTGATCAAATATCGGGTTAAATATCGGTGGGGTGGCGGATGTCCGATATTCAGTTTTAAGGACGATACATGCCAATACCGATAGGGGGCCGATTATATTGTGCATCCCTATCAAGAACTTCAAGGAGAGGTTCCATTTTTGCCAAAAAGGCTCCAGGGTGTCCAAGAAAGACCAGCAAGCGCCAGGACCGTCTCTTAAAAGTGTTTCAGCTGCCGGATAAGGCTACAAGCAGTGCAGAGCTTGCTCAGGAATGGCAGCAGGCAGGTGTGAGTGCACCTGCACGCACTGTGAGGTGGAGACTCTTGGAGCAAGGCCTGGTCTCAAGGAGGGCAGCAAAGAAGCCACTTCTCTCCAGGAAAAACATCAGGGACAGACTGATATTCAGCAAAAGGTACAGGGAGTGGACTGCTGAGGACTGGGCTAAAGTCATTTTCTCTGATCAATCCCCTGTCCGATTGTTTGGGACATCTGGAAAACAGCTTGTTTGGAGAAGACGAGGTGTGCGCTACCACCAGTCTTGAAGTCCATAGAAGCTATAGCTTCTCTCAGTAACAAAGTTCAATGGAAAGGGGAATACAGTATCCAATTTCTTGATATACTGATTTGGATAAAAAACTTGCTAAGAGCCTTTATAGATATATGTGATTTCACTTTTGATCATGTTTTCCAGACATTGTTTTGGAAACAAAAACTTGACTTAACTTTTGAAAATAAAAGAAAAAGCATTTATGAGAGCAAAAAAGATTATCTTGATAAAAATAATAAAGTCATCCCAAAAGTATGACTACAGAGAACTAGAATACAACTAGATACGATAGAAAGAGGTGGTTTTCATAACAACTTCCCAGCTATTTAATGGGGCTGGACTGATAAAGAGCACAGTGAAGTATATCCCCTTCCAAACAGCAGAGGTCCCTGTTGAGAAAAAGAAAAGCACTGCATAGTTTGATTTTATCCATCCATCCAGAGTTTCTGTCTGAGCTTCTTTTACAAAAAAAGGTTTAATGTTTACATTTTGAAAGAGTTTCTCCTTAAGGACGATGTTGTCCCTAATCTAGGAGCATTGTGGTCCCTTCATCTGCATCTTTGCAAGCCTTTATGCTGAGTCATTGTTTTCAGGCAGGAAAGGCAGAGTCTATCAAATAATACAGAATTGTTTTTTATGCTTTCTGATAAAATGCAGAGGGCCTGCAGAACAAAGCAGTTTTTTTTTGTTTTGTTTTGATATTTCTCAGATTTTGGCACCATCTGGTGAGTTTTGCCTAAACATGTACTACTAGGAGCAGTGGGAAATTGTCATACTGAAGACTATCTTCGCACAATAAAGACCCCTGTCTTTATTGTGCATCAGTTCTTATTTCATTAAGTAAAATAACATTTGGTACATGAAATGAAAAAAAATAAGTTGGAAAAAAAACCCATTTAATTTCAATATTTTAACTTTGATATTTTAAAGATGAACAAATTTCCTAATCACTATAATTTAGTGCACACATTCTGAGTTAAATAAGCAGCAGGTTAAGCAGCAGAGGATTTAGGTGAAAAAACAATCACAAATGTAATTTGATTCAATTTATTTGTATAGCAACATTTCACAATGCGTCACATTAAAGACTCTTTACAGACACAATCAAATCAGATCATACAGTCAGATTGGCTAAAGGTTTCTATTAATCAATATTGATTGCATCCAGTCATTGACTTGCAAGTCATGTTCCTCCTGGATGAGCTTGCAGCCATAATATCTGCTTGCCTTTTCCCTCACCCCAACCAGGCTCAGTGTAAGCAGCCTTCTGCTGAGGCTGACTGGGGTTCAAGGAGACAGAAGCAGACATAAAAAAGGTATGTGTTAACTAGCTCCACAGGTGGTTTTGTCCAGGAAATAAATGGCAATGCTGAAGAACTCTGAGCCAGTTCCCATGTCAAATGATGAAAGAGCCCATAAAGGTAGTCAAAGTAAAAGAACGTTGTTTTGTTTCCTTTGTGATGTATTATTGTTGCCTGTCTATTCAGTGGATGTGATTCCTAGACGGTAGGGGAAGGGGGTTATTTTAATGATTTTATTTACTTTATTTCCACCTTTTTTTTCTTTCTTTGTTTTCATTTCTTACTATCATTTTTATTATTATTGTTGCTATTTCTTTAATGCCTTGACATCACTGGGTGGGGAGGGTAGAAATGAGGGCAGTGGCTGGGGAGTGTAGACATAGGTGGGGAGGAAGGGTGTTCTATTATTGATGACACAAATTTGTATACACTGTAATGTTGGTGCACCTGTTCCTCCTCTAATGTACAAAATGTGAAAAACAATAAAAAATTGATCACAAAAAAAAAGTAAAAGAAAAAGGTCTCCAACATCTATAAACAAAGGTTTTGACGGCAGCAGTTCAGCTTACGGTATATTTCTTTGCAGGATGGAGTCACAGCCGAACAGGAACGCACCAGATTAAGCTAACATAACAAGAAAAAAACAGGGAGTCCCTAATGTTATGGGCGGAAATAAAAAAATACTGCAGAATGGGAGAATAGAATGAAGCAGAAAAATGAAAAGTGGTCCTCATGTCCTCCTGCAGTATAAGCCTATAACAGTGTAAATATAGAAAATAGGCATTTTGATTAAAGTATGAGAAGACAGCACAGTTTATAGCAGCATACCATAAATTACCACTTTTATCATACCATGACTACAGACATTAAGCTTTCTGTTATATTTTATCAAAAATGTAGTATATAAATTTAATAATTAACAAATTACCTCTAACATCTGGTATTTTATCATCAGGTTTTCAAAGTTCAGTCAGAGCTAACTTGTTGTTTTGCGAGTGATGTATCATTCCATTCATTTTGTCAGCATGGTTAAACAAACGCCTCAATGATCCAAGAAGAACAAGGTGTGTATTCAAATTCTGTGCCGTAGCCCAGTACACCTGTTGTAATGATAGCAGGGGTTCTTTCTCACCTATGAGTGTTGTGCTTTGTTTTAAATTAAAGTTCACCTTATACAAAAAGTAATTTGATTAAAGAAACTGAAACAGCTGTTTAATAAGGTTTTGTTTATTTCTTCAGAACAGGAGTTTCAAATTGTTTATTTGCCTTTGGGTTACAATTAACATGTGGAAAATCAATGAAGAGTTTTAACTAAGATCACAATAATTATAATAGTTGTTTTCCCTGCTTAATAATAAGCTAAG